GCCCCGGCCGCCGTGGGTGCTTCTGGGCCCATGTGCTGCACGGGTCCGGGGGGACCCCGCTTCTCTGGGGGTTTGTGGTTCCGGCGGGAGGGTCCTTGCCCAGCACTGACGTTTTGCCCTTCTTTTCTCTGCTGCCTCAGCGTCCCGGGCTCCTGTGTGTCTCCCATGGCGGATACGACCCCGAACGGCCCCCAAGGGGCGGGCGCTGTGGTAAGTGAGCGGCCTTGGTCTCCCGGCTCCATCAGCAAGAGTTGGTGAGGAGCAGGAAGTATTGAGAGGGACAGAGCGTTCTAGAAGCCACTGCCTACGGGACTGGGGTTGGGGAGTGGAGTGCGGCTGGAGAGGAGCTCGAAGTTTGTTTCAAAAGCGACTACAGGCAGGCACGGAGCTGGTGGTGGCCGTCACCTGTCTGCTGGGATATCGGGCCTCCTTGAGCCTTCCCACACCTCAGTCTCCGTCCGTGTTCGGTCCCAAGGTTGAAGATGCCATCTGAGGCAGAGGCTTCCACCCACAGGCCTCGTGGTGCAAGTAATATTACCCTTTGTACCTACTTTTAAGACTTGTAAGAAATTCCGAAAGGGGGAGAGCGGTGTGCTTCCTTCAATTTGTCTTTTACTAGGAGAAATACTACCCTTTTGGAAACGTTATAATTAAAAATTCCGAAAGGGGGAGAGCGGTGTGCTTCCTTCAATTTGTCTTTTACTAGAAATACTACCCTTTTAGAAACGTTATAATTAAAAAAAGGTTGTTCTACAGCTCTACCCGAGACATTTTGTCATTTAGTCTTTAAACTTATTTAAAAAAAAAAAACATTTGCAACACCTCTGTATACACCTATTTTGCTGACCCATTTGAAATTCTTGCTAACCTACAAATGTTAAGTATTATTCTCCACTTCACTACATTTGGGAAGTTTAACATTGATGGTTAACCTAATAAGTATTTTATGTTCAGATTTCCTTAATTGTTCATTGACACTTCCCCTCCTAGGGATTCAGCCATTGCATTTATTAGTCTTACTCTTTACTCTCATTCAGTGGATGGAAGTTTCTCTGTTCGCCCTCTTTTCGTTTTGAAGACACAGGTAGTTTCAAATGTCTAGACCGATTCTGCAGAATGATCCAGAAACTGCAGTTGCATGACTGGTTGTGTCCTTCTTAAGACACAAAAACCATTTATGTTGATTCTTTGGGGGAATTCAGGTGTGGTGTTTAAGGTGATATCATCAACTGATTTGAAATTGTAAAAACGCAGTTTCCCCCTTTATAATTGTCTGTCCTAATACTAGGAGACTGTGTGAATAATTTGCCCTGGAGTGTTCAAATCCAAAGATCCATTAAAGTAATGGTGGGGGAGGTGGAGTTATATATATCAGGCAGTTCACACTTAAAAACTTAAACGAGCACGTGCCTTTTAAGCTCCTGTATTGTGTAGTAGAATGTACCTGCATTAAAAAGACCCAGATGAGGGACTGGAAAGATGGGCTCAGTGTTTAAAAGTGAATGCCGCTTTATTGGAGGACTCTAGTTCAGTTCTCAGCACCCACGTGGTGGTGGTGGTGGTGGTGGTGGTGGGGGACTCACAACCACCTGTAACTCCAGCTCCGGGGGGATCCTCTGGTCTCCATAAGGTACTGTAGACACCACACACATGTTGTATTCACACCCAAGTACACATAATTAAAAGTAATAAAAATAAATCTTTACAAAAAGATGTCTGAAATGGATAATTTAGTGACTTAGTGATGAATGAAGTAGGGCTACACAGATACTTATTGTTGGACGGCATATGTAGAGGTCAGAGGAAAACCTGTGAGAGTCGGTTCTCTGCTTTCTGGCGGTCTCCGGGTTCAAACCCGGGTAATCAGTCTTGTTAGCGTGGGCCCATCAAATGGATTTTTAAAGAGGATGCTCTAAACAAACTGAGCACAGTAAACTAGATTCATCCTTGCATTTGACTGCTGCTATAATCAATATTTCGGGCATCACAGTAAATAGCTAGTTCTCAGTAGAGTAAGTTAGCAGCATGTTTTGTATGCCTGATATTGCTAGCATGTAATTAAAAAGCATGTAATAAAATTCCCTTGAATTTTAAATATAGTTGCATTTTTCTTAAAAAATTTTTTTGCACACGAAAGACATTAGAATGAAATTGCTTAAAACATCAAATTTTAAAACAAATAAATGCATAAATACGTTTTTGAAGTCAGTTTATTGGAAGCACCAACTAGAAGCAAAAAAATCTATCACTTGCAAAGAGGATATTTATTAAATGGGTATATTCATATATATACCCATATATGTTTGCATCTTGGTGTAACTTTTTTTTTGAGTATTGTAGTTAAAAATATAAAAGCCTCTTTAGAAATGAATGTGAGGTACATGTTAGTGATAAAGTGAATTTTAAGTTCTTGCTTTCATGATAAACTTAATCTAGGGCCACTGATAACAGGGTAAAGTTTGTGTGGGAGCCTGTAGGGGATGCAGGGAGTCCAATGGTCTGAGAAGCAGATGCCATTTCATACTTGGCTGGCATGTTTTGAATACCTTGGGTGTGCTAGGCCCTTCTGCATGTCTCCAGACTGATGAGTTCAGCACTAACTTCAGGACTAACTCTTTCTTTGTAATGGTTTATTTAATCCAAACCTAATATTTGATGCCTTACTCAGTTCTGGGGCCTGCCTGTTTGGGTTTGAGATTTTTCTAAGAATAGACATTACAGTTCTCTTGAGAGCCATTAGTTCTTATTTAACGTTGCTTTAAAATAGATGGAGCCATTATTGTAAATGTTGAAATAGCACAGAAAATTTTTTATAGTTGAATTACTGTCCTGATTTTTTCTCAAAGTGCTTCTTATGCTTTCCACAGCATATTTGTGAAGAAGCAGTTAAGTACCATGAGTTTCCACTTAATGATCTAAAAATCAAATGTTGTAAGGTGGTTGTTTAAATGTCGTTCATAGGAATAAAAGTACATAATTTGTCCTTAACATAATTCACACTTAGTTTACCATAATTTTTCTTTTTAAATCTAGCAATTCATGATGACCAATAAACTGGACACAGCAATGTGGCTTTCTCGATTGTTCACAGTTTATTGCTCCGCTTTGTTTGTTCTGCCTCTTCTTGGGTATGTATTATCATATTTCTGACTCAGAGGGATAGTCAGTCAGCATTTTTGAAATGCTTTTTAAGCTTTAAGAATTGTTAAAATGTGAAATGGCATAGGGCTAATTAACACAAACCCTATTTAAAATCAACAGTAATCTGTAGTACCTATTGGGGGATCTTTTTTTTTCTTCTCAGATTTCTTTTATTTCAATTAGAAACAAGATTGATTTACATGACAATCCGAGTTCCCTCTCCCTCTCGTCCTCCCCAACCACCCCACCCCCACCAACTAAAACCCTACCTATCATATATCCTTTCTGCTCCCCCTGGATGGAGAGGCCTTCCACAGGGTGTCATCAGAGTCTATCATATCCTTTGGGATAGGGCCTGGTCCCACCCCCATGTGTCTTGACTCAGGGAGTATTCCTCTATGTGGAATGGGCTCCCAAAGTTTGGGGGGATCTTTTATTGTGGTTAGTATGACTGCTCATTGACAATCATGGGTTTTGCAATTCTTATTTTTTTAACTTGACAAAGCGTGAGCCCATTATATTATGATGTTGGATGTATATTTGAAGTCATGCTTCCCAGAATCAGGAGTACATTCGTATAATTTGTTTTCTATTGACAATTAAATGATTTAGGTGTTGTGCAATTATGATGCAATTCACATAGGAGGAAGAACTGTGGTAGCTGTTGATGTCTCATGATAACTTTTCCTCTGGTAATTTGCAGGTTGCATGAAGCAGCAAGCTTTTACCAGCGTGCTTTGCTGGCAAATGCTCTCACCAGCGCTCTGAGGCTACATCAGAGATTACCACACTTCCAGTTAAGCAGAGCGTTCCTGGCTCAGGCCTTGTTAGAGGACAGCTGTCACTACCTGCTGTATTCACTCATTTTCGTCAATTCCTATCCTGTTACAAGTATCCTTTTTGGGTCATGACAGTGAAATTACCAGACTAAGCTTGTAGGAGATGTCCTGATTATTTTTCTGTTGGAAGGATACAATAATGATGTTCCATGAAGCTTGTTTGTTTGGTCATTTGTATGGCGATATATTAATGTAAGATTTCTGTCCCCAAAATTTGAAGTCTAAACTCTGTAGAGCTGTTTTGGGAATTTAAACTTCATCTCTCTTTGCCTTGTAAGCCTAGCAGATATTTAACAACTAACATTCAAAGCACAAATTTATTCATGAATTCAGTATTTAAATTTTATTTCATTGACTTCATGATTTTATGATTATGCAATTTTTTAAGAACATGCAAATTATTTACATGTATGAGTGTTTTGCCTGTGCTTAATGCCTGTGGAGACCAGGAGAGGCTGTTAAAACTCCTACAACTGAAATTGTAGGCAGTTATGAGCCATTGTGTGCGTGATGGGAAATGAATTTAGGTCCTTTATAAAAGCAGCCAGTGTTCTTAACCCACAAGTATCTCTCCAGCCCTCCAAATGTGTTACTTAAAAATAAATAAATAAATAAATTAAAGGTCTTTGGCTACCCCAGCTTCCAGTGATCTAGGAACAAAAGAAAACTTGTGAAAATAATTTGCTATACATAAAATAGAAAGTATGGACATGAGCCAAGTAAGGTGAGCCTGTGATCGTAGCTCTGGGAGGCACAGGAGATCTAAAGCCAGCCTGGTTTACAGAGCTAGTTTCAGGCCAGCCAAGGTTATGTAGTAAGTCTGAAAGAGCAAAACCAGGCTAGCAAGTTGGCTCAGCAGGCTCATTAGGAGTCAGGGAAGAGAAGGAATGAGAAGCTAGAAGAACATAAGCTAGGAAATGCTAATCTAATTCATAAAGAAACTGGGAAATGCGATATCTGCTAAGGTGTCCCAAAGTAATACTACAAGTATATTTGGGCCTTTGTTTGTTTGTTTTTCGAGACAGAGTTTCTCTGTGTAGTAGCAACCCTGGCTGTCCTGAAACTGGACTTTGTTGACCAAGCTAGCCTCAGACTCACAGAGATCTGCCTCCTGAGTTCAGGGACTCCTATGTTCTTAATGTATTGTCCTTGCTCTGTCAGTGACTGGCACTTAAGAATAAAATGGTAGACTTTTCACTCCTTATCTTTTCTAAATAATCTAAAAGTGACATTGAACCAGGCATGTAATCCCACGCCAGTAATTCTATCACTTGGAAAGTGAGGATAAGAAGTCAAGGCTAGCTTGGGTTTCCATGAGACCCTGTCCCAGAACCAGAAGTTGGAAAAAATAAAGTGACATCAAAAGCTTAGATGAGTCTCTTAAAGATTTGTGAACTGTAGACAGGAGATAAAATACTCATTACAAATCTCCTTGGAGTCTATGTGGTAATTTGACAGAGGATGAAATTTGGCCTAAGAGAATGAGGTTTATGAAAACCAGAACTGAAACCCAAATATCTTGACTTGTGTTGAAGGTTATACTTTGGCACTGTCCCTGTTACTGAATGAGACTTCAAGTCTGGGGGTGACAGAGTTTAAGTTGAATTTTTATAAAACTTTAGCAGAGTTTCACATGGGCCTTAAAAATGAGAAATTTTTAAGTTTCAAGTTTAAAGGAGTCTGATTCATTAAAAAATCTTGAATTGGAGCCAAACATAAGTGTACCTGTAATCCCAGCACCTGGGAAGCTGAGGCAGGGAGGAATGAGTTTGAAGCCAGCTTAGGCTGCAGAGTAAGATGTGCCTTCTAATGTTTGGGCATAAGCTGCTCACTGGTTGGAATGAGTGAGTTAAGGTTATCATTCAGTATGAATTCAAAACATTTAAACAAAATTCAGATATATTTCCTCAAAGTAATAGAATTTAAGCCCATTACTTTTGACACCTTTGTCAACAGTGTAGACTCTCGTAAAAGCAAGATTTTTTGTGTTTAAGACCAAATTGGTATGCTGGAGAGATGGATCTTAGAGCTCTTACTGTCCTTGCAGAGGATCCAGGTTTGGTTCCCAGCTCCCACTCAACAACTGCCTATAATTCTAGTTCCAAAAGATCAAGTTCCACTGACCGCCAAGGGCACCTGCATGTGTGTGGTGAACATAAACTTGTGCAGGTACACACACATAACTAAAAATAATAAAATAACTCCTAAAAAACAAAATGGCCATTGTGGGGTGAAAATTATATTCAATCATTTGGGCTGGCCTGCATTTTAGCTTTGCTTAGCAGATATTTGTGGTGCTTTATTAAAAGTGTTTTTGACTTCCCAAACGGTTGGTAAGATTTAGAAAGTGAGGAAGTGTACCTCTTTCTATGTGGTACTTCATTTGGTTCCAAGTCTGGCTCAGAAAGAAAAGCCATTCCACCGAACTCATTGTCAAGTGTTGCTTCAGCTCCGCTTTGCGCATATGCACAGCCGTGTACTTGGGTGTACAGTGCTCGGTGACTTAAAGGGTTTCCTTAACTGCTTTCTCCAGTGAGTATTTTCCCAGTCTTGTTATTTTCTTTGCTTCATGCTGCTACTTACACTAAGAAAGTCCTTGATGTGAGTAAAACCTTTTGTTTCTTTGGCTTTTAGAGTGTCGATAGTTGGTGTGACTTTGAGTTTCATACATTTTTTCACCATAAGTCCCTCTGTTTCCCCATAAACTTGTTAGAAATTTTTTTAGTGATTTGAAAGTTTTAAATTTGAAGATTATGGTGCTGGAGAGATGGCTCAGAGGTTAAGAGAGCTGGCTGCTCTTCCAGAGGTCCTGAGTTCAATTCCCAGCAACCACATGGTGGCCTCTTCTTGTGTGCAGATATACATGGAAGCAGAATGTTGTATACATAATAAATAAATAAATCTTTAAAAAAATTCATAAAAAATTTCAAGATTATGGTGTTCAAATGTCATAAAACAGCTTCTTTTGTAGAGAAAGGATTGTGTGACTTGGAGGGTGGTGGTGGCACATGCCTTTAATCCCTTTAATCCCAGCACTCTGGAGGCAGGGGCAGTTGGATCTCTGTGAGTTTGAGGCTAGCCTGGTCTACAAATCGAGTTCCAGGACAGCTAGGGTTGTTACACACAGAAACCCTGTCTCGAAAAACAAAGCAAAAATCCCATGTAACTTTAAGTTGAATTGGCAGAGGTCTCGTCTTATGTCACTGTTCACCTAACTTGCTACATAAGTATACCATACTGAGTATTTCTATAATAACATTTAGAGCTGCTTTCCTAGATTGGTTTTTTTGGGGGGGCTGAGGCATTAAACAGTCAAACCAAGCAGACATGGTATATGTACTCTTAAATTTGAATTAAAATAACAAGTTTAAGGTTTTTTGTTTTGTGTGGGGGGGGTTGCATTTATTTATTTATTTATAAGACAGTCTCTTTATACAGCCTGGCTAGTCTACTTGCCTCTTTTCCTAGTGGTGATGCACACCTGAGGCAGAGGCAGGTGGATCTCTGTGAGTTCCAGAACAGCTGGTCTACAGAGTGAGTTCTAGGATAGCCAGGGCTATACAAAAAACCCTGTTTTGAAATGGGGTGGGGCCTAGCATTTAATTATTGGTTAATTTTAATGGTTTTCTTTTTTACAATTTATTTTATGTGCATTGCTGTTTTGCCTGCAAGTATGTCTATGGAAGGGTGTCTGGTCCCCTGGAACTGGAGTTACAGACAGTTGTGAGCTGTCACATGGGTACTGGGAATTGAACTTGGGTCCTCTGGAAAAGTAGTCAGTGCTCTTAGCTGCTGAGCCATCTCTCCAGGCCTAATTTATTTATTTCTGTAGCCACATGAGCAATTAGGATTCCATAATTTGTGTTGTTAGTTATCTAAGGATTCACAGATATTTTAACTATTGATAGGTAGTAAGCTTTTTGTTATGACTAGAGAGAAATAACCACTTTTTTGGGGGGGGAGGGTGGAATTTAACTTTTTTATGGAAAATAAAGTAAGAATGAAAATTTCTTTTTTAATGTGTTTTCGGTTCATTCAGAAATAGAATAAAGCAATAAACTACACTGAGTAAGTTCTTAGTTTGTAAACTCTTAAAGTTACTTTGAAATAACTGGCCTTTGGTTGTATTATCAGTTAAATATGCTACTGATCTAAAGACAGTCGTCAGTTCTTCAGAACTGTGAATCAAAAGTACTTGCCAAAAACTATTGTGTCGGTACTGAACTGGCTTTTCTTGGTATTCCCTAAACAGTTGTCACTGAGTAGCTTTTGTGTTGCACTAGAATGTAAGTGATGTAGAGATGGCTTAAAGGTTAGAAGATGAGTGTAGATTGTATGTAAAAGTGGTGCCCTTCTAAAGAGGTGTCCTGAGCCCCCACATGTTTTGGCGTTAGGGTGACTAGTGTGTTGTTAAAGATGTCATGTTCCTTCTAATTCTTGTTTCCTTTTGTTTTAGGCAAAGGGCTCAAATAGTTTACCTCTGCTGAGATCTGTCTTGGATAAATTAAGCGCTAACCAACAAAATATTCTGAAATTCATTGCTTGCAATGAGATATTCTTGATGCCTGCTACAGTTTTTATGCTCTTTAGGTAAGAATTCACATATGCTTGTTTTGAAAGATTGATGACAAGTGAACATAAAGACAGTCACTCAGATTTCATCCTGATTGAATCAGAGTGAGTTCAGCATGATTCCCCCAGGTGGAGCATCCCAGCTGCTTTAGTAGAAAGAAGCCTTGCACCATGGGAAAGCCAGGGATATGTCTCTTTCCCCAAATGCTTTAACAGGCTTTTAAAATCATTATTCTTTGATATTTTCATGCATGTGCATAGAGCATTGGTCATTTTACCATCCCACGACCCCATTACTCACTCACCTTCTCTTTTCTCTTGTTGAAACCCTTCTTTTCTACAAGCTCCCTACACTTAGACGTTTTTTTTGCTTATTAGTTAATTGTTGACTATTTAATTCATGTATATAATGCATGTGATTATTCTCCCCATCCCCTTATATTTTCCTTTCTTCCTTTTCAATTCCTTTTCCTTCTTACAAGTCCTTCTGTTACATTTTTTTGTTACTCTCTATGTTAAATCAGAACCATCTTTGTGACCAGGGGTGTGAACTATCCATTGGTGCCTTGTGGGCTCACCAGTCAGTGTACAGCCGAAGACAGTGACTCACTCCTCTTTCCCTAGCATCTGTGAATAGCCCTGGGATAGGAAATTTGTCTTATACACCTGTGAAACATTTAACCCTTGTAAATTTTTTATTTTTGAAAATTAATTTTAAAAATAGTACATATAGAAGAGGCTTTTGTCTTAGTTAGGGCTGCTGTTGCCGTGATGAAACACTGGGACCAAAGCCACTTGGGGAGGAAAGGGATCATTTGGTGTGTGAGTCCACATGACAGTTCATCATCAAAGTCAGGGCAGAAACTCTTAACAGGACAGGAACCTAGATGCATGAGCTGATGCAGAGGCCATGGAGCATAGCTACTTACTGGCTTGCTCCTTATGGTTTGCTTGCTCAGCCTGCTTTCTTGTAGAACCCAGAACTACCTGTCTGTTGTGGCTCCATCCACAGTGGACTCCCCCACTGATCACTAATTAAAAACATGCCCTACAGGCTCACCTGCAGGCCAATCTTTGGAGGCATTTTCTCAATTGAGGTTCCCTGCTTTCAGATTACTATTATGTGTGTCAGATTGACATAAAACTAGCCAGCACAGGCTTAATCCAGCTCATTCTTGCCTTTTTTGAGGTGATACCAGGAGATATTTTAAAAGTATAGTCTTACAGTAATAATTGCCTACAATTGTTTCCATGTTTTATTTGTAATCTGGAAATAATGGAGAAAACTTCCTTTGAGAGGTGGAATATCACAGCAATATTAGTCTCTCCGTTGGTAACTTTGCATTTGTTTTTACGAGTACATATCTACCTAAATGCTTCTATATTTTAGTTTTGTAGATAAGCTAATAGGAGTATGTAACCTATTGGCTTCTCTGGGCTGTGTTGTCATCCACGAAGTTTGTGATGAAGCAAAGAAAAAAAACCTTCCACAATATTTTAAATAAGGTTACTATTTTATGTTGGACTGGATTTTAAATGTGTTGTGCCTCATATGGCCTCACAGGCTCCAGGTTGGACACACTTCCCTTCTAAAAGAACATTTTATGATGAATTCAAGTTGGGGTTCTGTGTTCTCTGTTGCAGAGAAAGCAGTTTAATATGTGTGCATTTGTAATCCATTTAGAAAATACACAGCTGCTTGTCTATTTTATGTGTGAGTGCTGCGCATGGATACCTGCGCAGAAGAGGGCATCAGATCTTGTTATAGATGGTTATGAGTCATTCCGTGTAGTTGCTGGGAATTCAAGAGCAGCCAGTGGTTTTTATTTTTTGTTTGTTTTTTGTTTGTTTGTTTGTTTGTTTGTTTGTTTGAGAGAGGGTTTCTCTGAGTAACAGTCTTGGCTGTCCTAGAACTCACTTTATAGACCAAGCTGGCCTCGAACTCATTGAGATCCACCTCCCAAGTGCTGGGATTATAGGTGTGCACCACCACCACCCAGCTGCAGCCAGTGGGTTTTTTTTTGTTGTTGTTTTGTTTTGTTTTTTTGTTTTTTGAGATAGGGTTTCTTTATGGCTTTGGAGCCTATCCTGGCACTCACTCTGGAGACCAGGCTGGCCTCAAATTCACAGAGATCCACCTGCCTCTGCCTCCCGAGTGCTGGGATTAAAGGCGTGCACCAACGCCCGGCGGTGTTTTGCATTTTTAGTTTTCCAAATATTGATGCAGTAGACACCTTTCTTAGCTTGCTTATACTTGTATACCAAGAATGGTTTCTTTAACATAGATATCATAGTTAATTTTTCTGTGTTTAAGTTAAGTGCACTTTGTGTTTAATAGACCATGTCAAAATGTTCTTTAAATGTCTATGTGTAGCATGAAAAATAAAAGACCCAGAGACAGATATTGGGGTTGAAGCCTCAAGCTGAAGATAGAGAAGCAAAGCAGCCAAGCTAGTAGATCTTACCTCTATTCAACTGGAATGTCAATCCTCACTCCAGGAATCCTCAGAGACAAAAGCTCTGAGTTCCTGTCTCTTCTTTATATACCTTTCTTTGCCCAGCCATATCACTCCTGTCTCCACCTCCCTAGTGCTGGGATCAAAGGCGTGAGCTCTGTTACTCTTCACTCTTGTGTAGGTCAGGTTAGCCTTTAACTCAGAGAGATCCATCTGCCTGTCTCTCGAGTCCTGGGACTAAAGGTGTGCATCACCACTGCCTGACCTCTATAGTTTGTGGCTGGCTTTGCTTTCTGAATCCTCAGGAAAGCTTTACTAAATCATAAGTAATATATCACCACATCTATGTGTTTTTCCAGGCTTAGGTTTGTAATCCCAGCACTGGAAAGGCTAAGGCAGGAGATTACAAGTTCAAGGCCACTATAGGCTATATACATTAAGACTCTTGTCTAGAAAAAAAAAAGATTGTATACTTGTTTTTCATAATTTTGTTCATTTGTACAAATTATTGTTACTGAGTATAAAGCTTTGTACTTTCAGTTGGCTGGTGGTGGCGCCCAGTCAACAAAGACTAGAAAGTACAAAGTTTTTTGTTTTGGGGCTTTTGGGGGGGGGCGTTCAAGACAGGGTTTCTCTGTGGCTTTGGAGGCTGTCCTGGAACTTGCTCTTCTAAACCAGGCTGGCCTTGAATTTACAGAGATCCACCTGCCTCTGCCTCCCTGCTGGGATCAAAGGTGTGTGCCACTATGCCTAGTTATAAAAATTTTCTGATCTCAATTTTAACTTATTTATGAGCCTTGAATTTTTCTCATTGAAAAGGAAATACTGCCTAGCATATGTAAGGCTTTGTTTTTAACCTCTGGCACCGAAACAAAAGTAGTAATTTAAATAAATAGCTAAAAGCCTTTTTCTAAATGTTGTGTTTGTAGATTATTCAACTCTAAAGCTTACACCCTAAAGTTTAGTGTCCTAACGTGAAACCTAATTTTAGAATTGTAGTAGGTTTTTACGTCATTGATCCTTAACTCAATTGATCTCAATAAGACATTTATTTAACACTGTGAACAAAGTTGTCATTTTAATTTTCAAGAGTAGAGTTTACCAGAAATACATTTAAAGATAATTTTTTCACTAGAATTTATTCCTTTAGCCAGTCTCTCTCTCTCTCTCTCTCTCTCTCTCTCTCTCTCTCTCTCTCTCTCTCTCTCTCTCTCTCTCTCTCTCTCTCTCTCTCTCTCTCTCTCTCTCTCTCGCGTGTGTGTGTGTGTGTGTGTGTGTGTGTGTGTGTGTGTTTTGACATTGGTTATCTTCCATTATCCCTCTCTAGACTCACTGAACTGGGAGTTCACCATTTGCCTAGACTAGCTAGTTAGCAAGACCCTGCCCAGCATGTGAACTCATGTCCTCATGTGCAGCAAGACCTTTAACCATTGAGTCGTCTCCTAGTTTGTGAATCTTGACACTCAGCTTGTCTGTATTCCTCTTCCTTCCTAGCTTCTGGTGATTACTGTTTTACTCTTCCTTCAAACAGCTTTGCTAGCCACTGCATTTGAGTGAGTGTTTAATTTTTCTACCTCAGATTTATGTACTTTATTTTATGTGTGTGAGTGTTCTAACTGCATGCATGAATGCCGTATGCATGCCTGGTGCCCACAGAGGCCAGCAGAGGCCCTGGAACTGGACTTATGGATAATTGTGAACTGCCATGTGGCTACTAGAAGCCAAACCCACATGTTCTACAAGAGTAGCAAGTGTTTCTAACTGTTGAGACCTTTCTCCAGCCCCACTCTTATTATTTCCAGTTCCAACCTTTTTTTCCCCATGACATATGGTAGTATCTCATCCTTTTAAGACTGACGAGCATTCAGCCATGTATGTATACTTAGGAATATGTAGCACATTTCTTTATTCGTTCATTCATCTGCTGATACATACTTCAGTTGTTTCCATATCTTGGCTGTTGTGAGTAGTGATGAGGTGCATGATCACAGTGATAATGCTGACCTCATTTCCTTTGGAGACTTGCCCAGAAGAGGAATAGTTGGATCATGAGGTAGTTACATTATTTGTTCATTCCTGTTTTCCATAATGTTTGTACTTGTTTATATTGCCACCCTCCATACAGACTTTCCTTTTTCTCTACATCCTCACCAGTCCTGGCTTTTTTTTTTTTTTTTTTTTTTTTTTTTTTTTTTTTTTTTTTTTGCTTATTTTCATAATTGCTCTTCTGATGGATGAATCTGTAATCTGCTTTGACTAACATTTTAGCAATATTATTTTTGAGGGGTGCTGGAGAGATGGCTCAGAGCACTGGCTGCTCTTCCAGAGGTCCTGAGTTCAATTCCCAGCAACTACATGGTAGCTCATAACCACCTATAATGGAATTTGATGCCCTCTTCTGTCTTGCCAGGCATACAAGCAAATGGAGAAGTCATACACAAAAATAAATAAATCTTTTTGTTTGTCTGTTTGTTTTTGGTTTTTGGTTTTTGGTTTTTCAAGACAGGGTTTCTCTATGTAGCTTTGGAGCCTATCCTGGCACTCGCTCTGGAGACCAGACTGGCCTCAAACTCACAGAGATCCACCTGCCTCTGCCTCCCAAGTGCTGGGATTAAAGGCGTGCACCACCAACGCCCGGCAATAAATCTTCTTAAAAATTATTTTTTAATGCATAAACAAGGGAGATTTTTCTGGTTTTGTGTGTATTTAATGTTCATATAATTTTAATTACTTTAATAAATTAAAATCGTTATTTATATAAAGTTTATTTATTTTGTCTTTGGGGATCAAGCCCACAGTTTTGACACATGCTAGTCATGTAAGCTATGTCCACAACCTTCCATGTGCAGTAGTGTATTATATGTAGAATACTTAATACTTTTAAGCATGTAATTTAAAAATAACCAAAACTATAAAATTAAAATAATCATGCTACTACTAGTCTTTATATGCTACCTTCATGGCAGATAAACGATCTTATTGGTAGAGGCTATATTACTGAGAGCTCTGTATTGTATGATAAACCTACACTGGAGTTATCTTATATATGCATGCACATATGTGCAAAGACAGATGGTCATTGTAAGTTTATTTCTTTGCTTCTTTTCCTATATTTTCTTCAGTTCCTCTCTTCTTTTTCCCTCCATTTCTGCTTCTCTGCTTTCCCCACTTCCTTCCATGTTTTGGATTTTTGAAACAAGGCCTTGTTTTGTATAGCCCAGGGTCTGCTTGAGGCAGTACTCCCCACCTCTATTTCTTGAGTACTAGGATACTGAGATATAAGTAACCTGTCATGTTTTTTGTTGTTTTGAGAGGGGTTTAATCCTCAAAACAAACAAAATCCATAGGATGTTTTGCATAGTAAGCGGGCACTACCAAATTACATGCTCAGCTGTTGCTTTATTTCTTATTGTATCTGAGAACCACCCTAAATATTCAAACTCAGGAGGCTTGGTAGTAATAGTAGGACATAAGTTGGAATGCTTGAAACTGTAAAAGGAACGGGATGATTTGCATGTTGTCATATTCATATTACATGTTAAAGTTGGTTAACAACATATAAGGTGTTCCCCATTTAAAATTTTGGATATGTTCAAGGGCAGGTACATGCATTTTTTTTTGTCTCATGTTCATAGTAGTGTCACACTCTCTAGAGCTTGTAAATAATGAGTTATTATATGATGACCACTGTGTTAGTGTTAGTCATGTTGTACACTTATGTACGTATATTCCTAGAAGGATAGATTATGGGAGTGTTTTGTGAATTTCATCAAGGGCTGACTTGGATGGTAGGAAACTGGGTTTTCAGTGAACGTTTTCTATGTTAAACATTTTAGTTTGGAAAGTTAAAATTTTCTTAGATTATTTGTTGGGCAAGATATAGATGTATATAACATTAAGTAATAAGCTTATGATCACATGAATTGTTTTTATTATGAAAGTGTCACACTAGTTAGTGTTGGGCCCTGACAAATTAGAATACTAAGCTATTTTTATAAAAGGTTTTGTTGTTTTGTTTTTTTATAAGTCAGCATCTCACTATGTTACTCTGGCTCTCCTGGAGCTCACTATATATCCAGGCTGGCCTTGAACTCAGAGATCCTCCTCTGTCAGCCTCCCAAGTGCTGAGATTAAAGGCATACTTTAAAGCCACTAAACCTGACTTTAAAAAAAAGGATTTTGTTGCATTTATTATATCTTTGTATGTGTGTGCACGAATATGTAGAGATCATAGGACAACTTTGAGGAATCAGTTCTCTCCTTCCATCATGTGAGTCCCGGGTTCTATCTCAGGTCGTCATGCTGGCCAGTCGGGACCTTAGCTGGTGAGCCATCTCTCTGGCTCACATCTGATTTTTTTCAAAGTTGCTCTGTGGATTTTCCTTCTTTTTTTCCCTTTGGTTTTTTTTTTTTTTATAAGGATAGAGTCCCTTATAGGCAAGTTGCCTCAAACTCCCTATATGCTTGAACATGACCGTCTCCCTCCATCTTTCAACTGCTGGGGTTACAGTGTGTTCCACCATGTCTATCCATTAGGTATTTTTCATGGCCAGGATTTTTAAATTACCAAATACGATATAATTTACCCTGCTGTCTCACTGTGTCCACTTAAACTAACTGTGTATACACAGTCAGTCTTCCCTCCCTCCTTCATATCCATATGCCTTGGGCATACCTGGTACTTGCTCTGTTAGCACTGAGCCACATCCACAGCTCCATTCCTATTTTGCTTTTAGTTATTTGAGTGTCTTAATCCAGGTAGTTTGTAGGAAATAATTCCAGACTTGGAGTTTCATTAAATATACACATACATACGTCAAGGTATTAGAATTATGTTTTTTTTTAATTGAGAACATTAATAATTACTATAGGCTCTGCCAGTTTATTAGTATAGTTGTGAATTTTTATTTGCTAATATAAAATGAGGGTTTTTTTTTTTTTTTCTGTGTAGTTTTGGAGCCGGTCCTGGAGCTCACTCTGTAGACCAGGCTGGGCTTGAACTCAGAGATCTGCCTGCCTCTGCCTCCCCTGTGTTGGGATTAAAGGTGTGGGCCGCTACCACCCGACTAAAATAAGCCATTCTTAACTTGGAGTTTTATTAAGATTTAATACTTAATTTCAGGTGGGCATGGTGGTATATACATGTAGTCTTAGCTCTCATTGTGTTGTGATAGGACAATCAGTTCTAAGACAGCTTGGGTTACATATTGAGACCCTGTTTCGAAAAAAAAAAAAAAACCATTGAGCCCACAAGATGATTGGACAGGTAAAGACACTTGCCTTGCATACCTGACTATTTTGATCCCTTGGTTTGATCCTTGGAACCCAAGGAAAGGTAGAAGGAGAAATCCAGCTTTGCCCTCTGACCTTTACACACTCACATTGAACAATTTTTTAAAATACCAACAAAAACCTTGTTTTTATCAGTTCTCTGCTAATTAAGAGATGATATTTTCTGAGTTTTAGTATTTAAAATTTTAATATATGGATAGATTTATAAAAACTTAATAAATAGCATTTTGTTCTTTTCCAGTCATCTGTATCCTTCTATTTCTTTTTTTTTTATCATTTTTTTCATTTGAATTAGAAACAAGATTGATTTATATGACAATCCCAGTTCCCTTCTCCCTCCCTTCCTCCCCTACCATCCCCCCAACTAAAACCCTACCTATCACATACCCTTTCTTCTATTCTTTCTATTTCTTTTGTAAGAATAATTTGTGCCTAGATAAGGTAATTGTTACTGACCCATCTGATGAAGACACACATATTTTCCTTTTAAACTACTTGTAAATTTTGAATATATGTATGAATTGGTAATATGTGTTCATCACCTTTGTATTTGCTTATTTCAGCGGCCAAGGAAGTTTGCTCCAGCCTTTCATATACTATCGGTTTCTTACTCTTCGCTATTCCTCTAGAAGAAATCCATATTGTCGGTAAGCTGGTGACTAGCTTAAATCTCTTTAGTATAGTGTCCAGATGTATTATTTATAACCCTTGGAAATTTCTTAACTAATAGTTTAGAATGTAGAAGAAAGAAATATCTTTGAAATTTAAGTTAAATTTAAAACTAGCTGGGGTTAGTGAAGACATAGTTATGTAGTTGACCTTCAGTTAGAGGTTTCCATCCTGGTAAATTCACTGTGAAGTTGAAAATGCACTAAATATACCTGCCTCAGCCAACAGCTTAGCAGCACAGTGCTCCACAGATGCCCTTGTCACAGGAGCTGCAGCTGTCTGCTGTTACACAGCATGTTGCTAGCCTCAGAAAAGATGGAAATCTGTAGGATGCTGCTGCTGAGTGCATATCACTGTTGCAGCAGCATGAGTAAACACACCAGAAGTTAAACCATTTGAGGATGGGGACCTTTCATTTCTTTTTAGAAATTAAAGCTACAGTTATCTCTGCCATCTTTTAAGGTTCTAATGCCTAGGAAATATATGAAACTTTTTAGTTCCATTCTTAAGGACATTCTTAGTTGAAACAAAGACCATAGGTATGCAGCAGTGTTGCCTTCTGTACACTGTAGCTTCCTATCCTTCTGTTACAAGGTCTAAAAAGCTCATAGCCAGGCAAGGTGGTGCACACCTGTAACCCCAGCACTCTGGAGTCCACAGCAGTGTTCTGCACTCAGGCACAGTGTGAAAATTGGGAGTAGACCCTTGAGGATCCCTCAGATTGACTTATAGTACAGTTTACAGTATGCATCATTCTGTATATGATATATATGTATGTAGGCATGTATAATATGTAGTGAAGGGTACTTTATGGGCAGTATAGTTCAGGCAAGGAAGGGCACTTAGCCTGGGAACAAAAATGAAGCAACACAGCACCATCAAAAGCTGCAGTAGGAAATGGAGTGTGGTGTGAGATCAAGAGCAGATTGTGTGAGCTGGTGGGTAGGTTTTAATCTGAAAGAGCTGGTTTGATCAGTATCCGAGTTGTAAAGTGGCAGTTTGAGTATGTTCAATTTTGTCTCTATTAACTTCATAGCATTGAAACTCCTAATGTCCAGAAAAGTTCTGAAGAAACAGTATGTGGCCTGGTGTGGTGGTCCATGCCTTTAATCCCAGCACTCTGGCAGAGGTGGGCAGATCTCTGTGGGTTTGAGGCTAGCCAGGTCTACACAAAGAAACCCGGCTTCAAAAAAACTAAAAAGAAAAAAAAAAAAAAAGAAACAGTGTGTGGATGGATTGCCTATGTTATATAACTTTTTGGTTTTTTTTAAGAAAGAATTTGTCTGTAAAATGTGAAAACTGACTAGTGAAGAAAAAAATGTAGCTAATCCCTTTTAGATATAACCATTGTTTTTAAAAATGCTTTTTGTCACTTCTACTCAAAAAGACACTGGATTTTGAGACTTGTCTGTGATGAGTTGAGAATCCTCATGCTATCCTGACTGGCCTTGAAATCCTAGGCTTCCCACCTCATACACTAGTTCCTGAGGGCTAGATAGGTATGCATGGGTATAATGATATGTTATTTATGATTTATTAAAGGTTGACTGAGGATTCAGAAAAGCAGAGTCAGCCACAAGCCATACAAGCCAGGCACACACCTTTAATCCCAGCAGCCAGAAGCTAGGAGGTGGTGGTACAACCTTTAGTCCTAGGACTGAGGAATAAGAGATAGACAGGTCTCTGTGAGTCTAAGGCCACCCAGATCTTCACAAGAGTGAATCACTCTAAAAGAGAATTATAGCTCACACCTTTAGTTCTAGGACTCATGAGAGGTATATAATCAGTATCAGGAGTCAGTATGAGGCATTCATTCTCCAGCCGCACTGTGGAGAGATTACAGTCTGAGGCTTGGTGAGATCTCCTAGAGACAGGATCAGCCCATTCAGCCTGAGGGAGAAGTAAGAAGCTTGTGGCCAGCTGCTTTGCTTTCTGATATTCAGTTTGAAGTTTGAACCCCAGTATCAGTCTCTGGGTCTTTTATTTTTCCGTGTTACAAATTGGTGCTCCATGCTGGGGATTAAAGGTGTGTGCCTGGCTTCTATGGCTGACTTTGTTTTTTCTGAATCCTCAGTCAACCTATAATAAACTATAAATAATACATCACTACACATGGGTTCACCTTTTGTATATTCCCTACAGTGTATTCTAAATTCATCTTTGATTTAAATTTTTATTGTAAGTTTTCCAGACAGGGTCTCACTGTGTAGGTCAGGGTGTTTTGGGACTTACTTTGTAGACCAGGCTGGCCAGAACTCAGAGATCCACCTGCCTCTGCTTCTTAAGTGTTGGGATTAAAAGTGTGTACAACTACACCCGCTACTTCTTTAAATTCTTTTCTGTCAACTTTTTTCTCAGCATTTCTCAGCATTGTTTGTGTTTGTTGCCTTTTTGATGTTTCTGAACAACACTATTTTATCTTACAGGAACTTGTTTAATGAACTGAGGATTGTTGTCGAGCACATTATAATGAAGCCCTCCTGCCCACTGTTTGTGAGAAGACTTTGTCTCCAGAGCATTGCCTTCATTAGCAGACTGGCACCAACAGTTGCGTAGTTTAACATCTAGTTAGGCTGTGGGTAGAAGATAAGCAGTAGTAGCTGGTAATTCAGATAGGGGTCTCAAATGACAGGTCTAACACCGACCTCACTTCAACTTATATGATTTACATAAATGCATCTCAGTGCAAAAATAATCATTTTCCTGGCATGTTAGTCAAACCCTTAACAGTTTCTGAGAAAATTTTACCGTACATTATTGTTTGTGGTTATGTATGTTTGCATTTAGTGATAATTGTTACTAAATTGTTTTAGATGCTTCTGTGCCTACATCATGAAATACACTTATTTCTTTTAAAAAGAATTCTGAAATTTGTTTCACCCTAACCATTAACCCAAGTTATGTCTGGAATGAGTTCATTATGGTAATAGATGAATTCAGTATATTTTGAGACAGTATTTTTCCATTCAGTAATTTTGGTTGAGATTTTAACACAAGCCCATTTCCCTGCAGTTTCCTTTCATACTGATCTTGTGCTGCTCTGCTAGGATACATGTGTTTAGCCTGTACCATTACAAGGGGAGTTCTGTATCTATTTTATGACCTACTAAGCTTTCATTTCCATTGGTACATCTGTGGCCTTGATAGTGTTGAAAAACAACTTGACTATAAACATGTTTTGGATTAGCTATTTGGGAGCATATAACCATTTAGTCTAGAAGGTAGTAGTGAAACAGAGTTCCTTTTAATGACCTACATTTTCCAAATGTCCACAGATAGATTATCAGTGTTGCTTAGTTTGTAGAAATACCTAGTTCAGCTTCTTAACTCCAATTTTCTTGGTTTCTTAGGCTTGAAATGTCCTAGAGATTTGCAGCAGCAGTTCTGATGCCTTTGAAAGGATGTGATTGAAGATTGAGCATGTGATTGCACTTGTATGTTCTGAAATAATGAAGAATGTTCTCTAGATTGCATTCTTATCCAGCAAATATGATTCAAAAGGTTAAATGGAAAGGTTTATAGGTAAGGTAATTAAATAGGCCTGGGTAATAGTTGAGGGGGATAATGGGTGTTCCAGCTTGGTAGTGCATACATGAATTTGGAGGGATTGGATGTATAATGCATCTGCATCTGTGATTGGGGCTGGATAAATATGTCCAAGTCTTCAATTGAGTTCCCATCATTCCTTTATAAAAGTCATTTTGATCCTTATTACTGTTGCATGATTGGAAATGCTTAAAACGCTGTACAATTTTAGTATAGAGTAATGTAATATGGTCTTTTTTTGTACCCAGTTCTCTTCTATCTGCATGTAATTTGGATTTCTCAACTACATTCATTAGTGACTTGTAACATCAGTTTTCTTTTTGTTTAAGCTCCTAATCTATAGGAAGGTGATAGTCTTGGGATAAAATTCCAGAAAAAACTACTTGACAGCTTAGCTTTAACCAACTACTTTTACATTTTTATGATATTTATCCACTGAGTTGGAGAAGCAACCTCATAATATCCATTTGATTTTTTTATGTATGTGTCTAGCCTCCTTATCACTATATGTGTAATCTGATGGTTTTAAAAATACAACTTTGTAGAGCAATAAAGTGACTATAATGTTATATAAACATACTGATTTCTGATGATGTTTTAAAACATTGTCTTGAATGACATCAAGTTCTGGCAGCTAAAGACATATTTATTCTGAAATGTTTTCTTTTTCCCTGCTTTTGTTTTTTTTTTTCAATCATGGACCATTTTAGATTCATAAGAGGTTCAAAATAGTGCTGGAAGTTTCTGTGTACCTCTTCGTTAACTATTTTTATATTAGCGTCTTCTAATTGGTAGGACATTTATGCAAAGTAAGATAATAACCTTGGATTAACTAAAATACTAAATTTATTTGGATTTTACCAATTTTTGTATTTGTTGTATGTGTGTGCTGTGTTTCTACCTGGATTACCTTTTATGTGTCAATTTTTGTTCTTTATAATATTGCTCAAAAATATTTTCTTAGAGGACCTAATTCATGCTAGCTTTAACAAGACTTTTTCCCTTAAAATTGTTAATTTCAAATGCTTAGTGATATAAATTTAAGACTTTTTAATGATACTGCAGAATTACCTTATTTCTGATACATTTGTGCTTGAATGGAAATATAGATTTGTTCCTTACAGGAAGATGCAGAATATAAATAATATTCTCAAACTCACAAAAAGGCAAAGTGTATAAATTGAACATTACTAGATGTTTGCATGGAAATCATAGTTAGAAATATCACATTGTGTGTGAATATGTACAATCAGCTGATCTTGAATCTGAAATTAGTGTTTCCATATACACCTATCAAACATATAGGGAATGTAATAGCAGAGATAACGTAACACTTACTGCATAACCAAACAATTCAAAGGAAGTTGTTGGTTATCCAGAATATCTAGTCCTTTAAGAACTGGAACAGTGCTGTTTGTTAAGCCCCATTAGACAGATGGAAGCTTCATACAAAACCTGTTGTTCTCTAGCAAGCACTATGTATTCCTTTGTATATTTCATCTCTTACTGAGTTGGACGTATTTTTTGTTTATTTGTTTATTTGTTTTGTTTTTGAGACAGGGTTTCATTGTGTAGTCCTGGCTGTCTCAGGACTCGCTCTGTAGACCAGGCTGGCCTTTAACTTACAGAGATCTGCCTGCCTCTGCCTCTGGAGTGATGGAATAAAAGGCGTGCACCACCACTCCCTGTCAAGTTGACTGTATTTTAATATTAAGGCACAGAGCAATTTCATCAGTGCAATTTGTATTTAAATTTTTATTGACATAAAATTTCACTAAGGTGAATGCTTTTGGAAGAAAAATAAGAAAGGAAGCAAATTTTAAAAATTAAATTTAAATACTTTTGTATCCCTTACGAATAATGTCAAAGCAAACCTAATAAAAACCAGAAGTTCTGGAAAATTATGGATTCTCTTAAATAAGAATTTGCAAAGCACCAGTACATCTAAAGATCTAGACAGAAATTTGAATTAGATTTGTAAGTTTAGTAAATTTTTATCTTGGGAAGGAAAATGGATATGTAACAAGACAAATAGAACATTTCAGATGAGAGATTGTGATTAAAAACCCTCAACTAACCTTAAGGAAGTTGATTGATTAATCATCCAGGGAGAAAATAGCTATGGACAGTTAATGTTTATAATCAGTAGGTGTCACTCTTTCCTTGGGTAGACCCCATTTATACCACTGTGTTAGATTAAATGCTGTGCTACTGAAAGTGCTTAGCTGATCGTAACACTGAGTGTCTTAATTCAACCCTTAATTCAACATTGAACAGATATTTAGTAAGTACTTACTATGCGTAAGATGGGACTGGGGATTGACACCTGGGCCTCTTGTTCTACCACTGAGCTATATTCCCATCCTAGGAGTACTGCTTTAGTACATAAAACATTCAAAAGAAGTGCACTGTCAATATGAGTCAGTAAATGGGACACAATTGGGAATGGCATCATGCTACTATGTCATCTTTCCAGTCTCAGTCTAAGTCACCTGAGTACATAAATTGTAAGGTTATTATTTCCCTTTATCAAGTGTAGAGAAATGATAGTTACTTTTTTCATCTTATATAGAGAGATGGAATTTTGATTTTTTTTTTCATTATTTATAGGTACACTAGATAGAATCTGTTAAGCCTATAATTGAGACTTTCCCAGTAATATTAAAGCACCGACAGTCTGGATATTAGATCAGGAGTGCTACCTGAATTTGAAAATCAAGTGTAGTTTGTAAAGATGACAAGTTTTTCTTAGCATCATTGGAATTCCCTAGGACCAGGGAAATTCCACACAGGAGTGTGTTGTGCGATTGACAGACAGTATACTAGAGGAATGTAATACCTTTGAAAAATCTGGAGTTGTTTCTCGACAGTTCTTGTTTTGTTTTGTTTTTTGAGACAGGGTTTCTCTGTGGCTTTGGAGGCTGTCCTGGAACTAGCTCTTGTAGACCAGGCTGGTCTCGAACTCACAGAAATCTGCCTGCCTCTGCCTCCTGAGTGCTGGGATTAAAGGCATGCGCCACTACTGCCTGGCTCGACAGTTCTTTAATGTAGTTTTGACTACAAAGCCATTCTTGGAGCTGGTATCAAGGATATCAAAGGAGCTCCTGGGAATTTGGAAGGTATTCTGTAATTAGTTAATGAGTGAAATTTTTTTGATCTGAGGTGGCACTTAAGTGACTTATCCAGAATGGACATATTCTCAGGTGAAGGATTCTCTCTGTGGTCTCCCTTTTTGTGCTGTTCTTGCTGTGTAACTGACCCACGCTAAATTTGAGTTGGTGGTGACAAGACAAAATGCAGTGTTCTTTGTATCTGAAGTGGATTCTTTTTCTTAGAAGACAGTAGGGAAAAGATGATTGATAGCTGTGTTTGTTAGAGTCTTAATAATTGGCTATTGTAGGAGAAAGAAGTGCCCAAGAATCATTTCAGTTCTTCTTTTTTCTTTCCCAGCTTTCTCCCTCCCTCCCCCCCCCCCTCCCCCCCCCCCCCCCCCCCCCCCAAGTCTCCAACAGGGTTTTTCTGTACAGCTCTGACTGTCCTGAACTCACTATATAGACCAGGCTGGCCTCAAACTCAGGGATCCGCCTGCCTCTGCTTCCCATCTTTTCTAGCTTTCTAAAGCTACATTAAAAAAAAATAGGCTTAGAATTTTTGAAACTAACATTTGTTCTTAACATTTCATTCCAAGCTTTTACTGTTCTCTTTTGTAACTTTAAGAACAATTCCTTTTGACATTAGTTTTTGTCTGCATGCATCTGTAAGTTGAGACCAAAAGAGCAAAATAGGCAGGTAACATTTATGATGTGTATATATTGGGACAAATATACAAGGATTGCAAAGATTAGAAAGAGTCATGGAAACTGCTTGATTTATAAATGCATCACTTCTGGTGCTTGATAAAATGGGATATATTGAACTAAGAAAATTGTATATACAGTATGTCAGCATTTCTTACTAACTTCTCTTGAATCCATTTTTAATATATTGTACAGGTTGGGGAGTTATATATACTCTTCAAGCCAATACTGTCCAGACTGTAGATTTATAAAATAAATTGAAAAATTCATCATTCTCCTGTATTCAGGACCAAAGCACATAATGCTAATGTAGGGCTCAGAGGGGAAATATAGTTCTCCTGCATATTTGAGAAAATGTGAAGTCCTTTCAAGAAAATGTAATAAACATAATAATCATAGCCTGCTGACACTAAGGAAAAAGGGCCTCATTCACTCTTTCTTTTATGCAGCGATTCACTGGTCTCTGCTGATTTCAAATTGAATCATTGTAGTGAATTATCCATGCTGGTACCTATAAAAGTAAGCCCTAGGATCCATATTTGTTTTGTGTTCTGCTTAAATCAGCAAGAATGATAAATTTGATGGTGTGAAATTGGAAGTATCAAGGGCTTTCTTTGATGATTGAGCAAAGTCTTGTCTCCACCTGTAATTTTTTGTGACCCTTTTCACTGTGTGTGCTTCATATGTCTAATATTTATTTCAATGCAAATTAAATTGTTCTTCCTTCATCTATAATGTTATACCTAACATTTTACTGATGTAAAATCAAATTGTATAATAAAAGTCTTCCTGGATTTAAGCAGGTTTAGAAATGCTATTTTGCACAAGTACATTTACAGTCAGAACTCAGCTTTCCTTTGTGCCTAATTGCCTATTGTTAGAGGAAGGTGAGCCGGAATTCTTCTGTTGTCCTCATCCCATTACAAAGAATAGAGATACTGTGATGTTGAAGACTGATGTTAAACGGGAAAACTGCATTATGAGGTGAGACTTGGTGAGGGGTGACATTGGATATCTCAGTTGCTTGCTTCTATACATTTTTGTTTCATGAAATGGAGAGCCCGGTGGATGAATTATTTATAGCCTTAAAATGGCTCACAGTATACAGTGCATCCAAAGTCATCAGTCAACACCAGATAACAGAAGTACATTTCCCTTCTAGATATCTAGAATTAGTAGATATTTTCTGTGGATTGAACAGTAGTAACTTACTAAGTAATGCACTATAGAAGCCAGTTATATAAATCCTTGTCTACCTCAGTTAAGCAGCCTAAAACACATTATAGAAATCAGTTTTATATTAAGGCAATTCTGATAAGTGGAAAATAGTGAATTAATTAGTTACCCAAATATGGGGTTGAGGATTTTTAGCTTATTGGTCCAACTCAAGATCCTTAGCTCTGAGGGGAAGGTGGGTAATGGCACACAACAAAATTACAGAAAAGACCAAAGACAACTAGTGTTATCTAAGTAGGAAAATGTTTGATAACCCAGGAAATAGAGTGTTTGGGGGCTATGGGGATAGCTTGTGCTTGGTGAGCACAAGTGAGAACCTGAATTTGGTCTTTGCATTACATGAAACTTAAAATCCTAAAGATTTTTTAATGTATATATCTGAATTTGGTCTTTGCATTACATGAAACTTAAAATCCTAAAGATTTTTAAATGTATATATTATTTTATGTGTATGACTGTTTTGCCTGCCTGCATGTATGTGTGTGCACCATGTTGGTACCTGGTGCTTGTGGAGGTCAGAAGAAGGCACTGGAGTACAGGCAGTTGTGAGCTGCTGTATGGAATGTGGCACTAGGAACTTTAGTAGGTCCTTTGGAAGAGCAGCCAGTGCTCTTAACCATTGTGCTAATTCTCCAGCCCCTCCTAAAGATTTTATGATTGTTGTCTCATATAGTTTTTTTAAAAAGTGAGATCTTTGAAGTGTATTATACCTCAATTCAGAACTTTTTGTTTTGGAGGGAGGTTCTTTCTACATAGCCCTGGCTGTCCTGGAACTCTCTATGTAGACCAGCTGGCCTTCTCAAACTCTTAGAGATCTGCCTGTGTCT